CAGTGGTGATATTCGAAATATTTAACAAAGGGTTCGCTAACAGAAAATTTTTCCTTAACAATTTTTTTTTTCGCTCAAATGGTGCATTAGCAACATTAGCGCAAAAACTGACCTTAAAGATATCCATATAAATAAAAAAGATGCGTTCGCAAAATTAGTCAGTTAAAATTTAACATTGTTTATGCCAGAACTATATTTTTTTTATAAATAATAAAAAAGAGTGTTCAAAATGGTTTATTTTGTACATATTTTAATATTTTTCATTCAAAATATTTTATAAACATAAAAATTGGCTTTTTTTAATCAGAAAAAGTCATAGGGAAAGCAGTTAAACAAGAAAAACTTTTCTAAATCATTTATTTTATCGTTAGGTATTATTATAATAATAGATGTCATCGTCTCTCGAAATACAATATCTTTCTTATTTCGCTGTTGATAGTCCGACAGGTGCTCCGCAGCCATCTTGTATTTTCTCGCGCGCATGGGATTGTGGGATCTCTCTTATGATTGGATCTAGTTTCGAGAACTCTCGAGTCGATCACGATTGAACCTCGTTTTAGTCGAGATTGAAACGGTCGATGGAGGTTGCACTAGGCGAACAGAGTATAAGGCTCTAGTTTAGTAGTGTTACAGAGTATAATACGTATATTTTAATATATTTTTTAACAGAAACAAAATCACTGAGTTACGTGCGTTTAACAACGGGTTCGGAAAACTTTGAAAATGTTAACAACGGGTTCGGCCGAACCTGTGCGAACCCGCTGAATATCACCACTGCAGCTAGCTAGTATTCACCCTACTATAAACCCTTTACCTCCTGTAAGTTTTATGAGAATGTCCTGGGAAATCCAACACCAGCTGTTCTCAAGGTCATCCAGCTGTAAACACAATGACTCATCAGTGTCAAATTTCGCAGAAAGTCGAGACATTGGAAAATAAAGTTTGAAGCTTTTTCTTCAAAAATAATGCATTTCTTTTGTTTTTTTTTCAGTTTTAAGTATTTTTTATGTTTAATTATAATGTAATTAAAAATTGATTGGAGAGGAAGCGGTTAACAAGAACATTTATTAGCTTGCGCACATTTGACTTGGATCTTACACACATGACATCTGCTATCGTGAACAATTGACAAAATAAAAGTGTATATTTATCAGAGAATAGATAAAGACTCAGTTTGTAAACAATTTACCTTTTGTATATACAATTGACACTCGATCCATAGTGGTCTTTCGATGACTGGACATAAAAAATGAACAGATGATGCTTAACTTAAGCGCAGTTTACAAAATGAATATGATTAATCTTAACACAACCACTCATAATTAAAAAATTAAGCCTCGTTTAAATACTGGCTCCCTTTCATGGTCTATCCAGTGTTGCCAGCTAAAACACGTAAAAATAATATTAAAGTAGCCAAGACATAGCCAAATATTGTAGCGCCACATCACTAGAGGACATTTGAATTTGCCGACTAGAATGCGGTCGGTTAACTGAGGTGACAGTTAATCGGGGGTTGGATAATCGATGCTCTACTGTAATAGAATAATGGATCAAACCTTTTATCGGGACATACTGCAGAATCAAATGCATCCTCATGCATGTCATTCAATGCCAAAGAAATGGATCTTCCAACAGGACAATGACCCAAAACACAAGGCAAATTTGGTAAAGCAATGGTTTTAACAGAAAATGGTGAATCTTAAGACAGGGCCAGCTCCATTGCCAAACCTAAACCCCATAGACAATCTTTGGGATAAAGTTGAATGCAATATACGCCAGCATATATATTCGAATCTGGATGAATTGTGGTCTACCATTCAAAAAGCATGGTATGAGACTCCCAAATTACTGTTTGATGACTTAGTTGAGTCAATGGAATGTAGATGTGATGCAGTAATCAGAAGCTCTGGTTATGCCACAAAATACTAATATTTTGTCCTAAAAATACTGGACAAATGTGTATACTTCTTTTGGTAGCTCTACTTTTGTCACAGTGTGAAATATAAAAATTTCATTTTTTTCTTTTGTGAATCAGATTTAAAATAAAATCTGTTTGATTCAATTGAGTATTTTGACTCTTTTTTTGGTGCTGTTTTCAACTATCACAATATTAATTATGTAGTAGGTGGTGAACAAAATAGAGATTGCATTTTTAAAACATATGTCAATGATAGCTCTACTTTTGGCCACTACTGTAAGTGTCAATATCATCATAATGTCAATAAAGTAGAAACTCAATTATCTGGTATGAGATTATCCAAAACAGTTGTTGAAAAAAAAAACAAGAATGTGTTTTTTTAACAACTATTTAACATACCACAGAGTATAATACACAGAGACCAAAAACTTGGGAAAATTACTAAGCCATGAAACTAGACTATATATATAACATTACATTGCATTTTGAGTAAAATAATTTACTTTCACAGTAATTGCATTACGGTATTTATTGTTCATGAAGCTTGCACAGGGCTTGATGTATCCAAAACACAGAATCAAACATGTTTCTGGATTATCAGAAATTTTATTTATCCAAAAGATTCCTGGTCCCATCAAGTTCAGATAATCAATTTTCCATTGTAATAACATTTTGAACATTATTTTTATTAATATAGGATAAAAATTTGATTAAATGAAACATTATCAAATTATCTTGAAAATAGTGTTATATAGATTTTATTTTTTAATTATTCTTGCCTAAATAAGTATCAAAATATATTTTGTATACAAAATGATTGAGTTGTTTTTTATTTTAATGGTTTTATAGTCAAAAACTCATAATACAAGATTTTTTGTCATTAGGTTGTTGAAAGAAGTCAAAGGTCAAGAGCCGAAGCAAGAGATAATCGTGTTAGAGAATACTTCTATGGATTAAGAACTCCACTATATCCACATTCTTTTGATGTGAGATTTAGTGATATCAAGATATATAAAATTGGAGGTAGCTTTTATTAAACTATTACTTATCTTTTATGTCTTGATGTTATTTTATAATTTATTGTTTTGTTGTAAATAAATTAAATTTCAGATTTAATAAGTACAATCAAACCTTGGTTTATGAACTTAATTTGTTCCTAAAAGTTGTTTGGAAACTGATTTGACCGAAACAAATTTTCTTATAAGAAACAATCTAAAAGGGATTAATCTGTTTCTGACCCCCAAAATAAATTTTTTTTTTTATACCTTTTTAGCTATATTTCATGCATAAAAATGCCTTCAAATGCAATTATTATTTTATGTAATATAATATTATCTATATCCATTATATATATTTATATTAAAAGCAAAATGTTCCATCATCAACTGAAACTAACTCTGACTCCCTACATGAAATATCAAATTAAAATTAAAATCAAATCAATTTCAATTGATTTAATTTTAATTAATTAATTTTGATTTTAGTTTTGATGTAAAAACCAGAGTTTTGATTATTATTTTATTGGTTTTNGCTCAGAGAATAATAAATTCTGTCAAATGATTCTGGTATACCAATGTGAACTTCATTCTTATACTTATGATTCAGTTCCATGGCCATCTGAGTTCTCCACCGTTATTTAATTTGAGATTAAGCACCTTTAAACACGGATTCATGGATGACATTTATATTACATGAATGTCAATTAACATGGTTTTTATTAATTAATTTGATTTAAATTGAATTGTGATGTGTATTGAAAACCAGTAGTAGTATCTTACCTGCATGTGCATTGAAATCTAGTTTGAATAAGAACATTGTTTTTGAGATATAAGGTTGTTTCATGAGCACACATGACAAAGCAATATTGCATGAATCTCACAACAAAGTTGTGCAATGTTTCACAATCACTATCTTGTATGGACTTATAAAGCACATCTTGTATGGACTTATAGGATTGAGTTTGTTCTTAAAATTTAATGGATTGATTTTGATAAAACTTTGTCATTTTTCATTAATTGAGACAAGGAATCCAGAAATGTAATGTGGGTCCATTTAAATGTAAAAAATCCAGCAATGAATTGCTCAACTTTCCTGGCAACATTTAAAATTCTGGTGGCGCTATCTGTTACAATATTAAAAAACTGTTTACATTTTTAATTATTATAAAATGGCAAAAAGCTTAATTTTAAGGGTAGGAATGGGTTTTATAAAAAAAATTGTAAATGCTAATAACAAGTAAAATCGTCATTAAGTTCGATACTACTCAAGATATCCCTTTATCTCTTTACCCCATTTGACCTTAAACTACCAAAATTTAATAGCATGAATCTTTTTAAAACACAAACTTCCCTGCAAAATTTCAAAAATTTTCAAAAATGCAGGAGTTATTAAGCTTCAAAGAGGGCAAACAAAATTGTGCCCCCCCCACACACACACATCATACATACATATAGGAAAAAACTCTGAATGTTTTTACATTTCTTGACATTTCAAGGTCCCTAAGTCTAAAAATGTAAAAATCTTGTGGGGGTCATTTTTTTTTACCAATTTCCATAATTTCCCTCTGTTATATACTGCAGGGGTGGCCAACAAGTCAATCGTGATCGACCTGTCGATCGCAAAGCCAATTTTGGTCGATCGCTTGCTATGTCTTGACTTAATGTGTTACACTTGTAACCAAACGCAACGTGTGAATGTAATGCAAAAACGCAACTGTAATGATATCGAACCTCCGTGTCCTCCCCTCGCCACTTAGACTATGCCTACGACAAGTCGATTGCGACACATTTTTGAGATAAAAAGTAGATCTTATGTACACAAAAGTTGGCCACTCCTGATATACTGTATAACAGCCAGGAAAATAAAAAATAGTAGTCCATGATTTCGTTTTCTATATACAAAGGTATTAGTGACAATGTCCATGCTCTCTAATGCAATGAGCGCACCTAATGGAATTTAGGCCTAGGGGTCAAAAATAAAAAACAGTATTATGTGCGCCTAATGGAAAATAGATGCAAAAAAAGCAATTTCCATCAACTGCTTTGTTCTTGAATTGTCTCTTCATACCTGGCCAGTACAAGAATTGTCTCCCCTGTGGTCTGCAGGTATGGGGATAGCCTCTTTTATGGTGGCAAATGCAAAGTTCCTGTCCATGTTCATCAGGTACTGTACAAGAATTGTTTTTTCTGTGCCTAACACAGGTGCAGGGATCACTTCTTTCCTTCTGGCTTTGCTTCATTTCTATTGTGATACAACAAAGTCAAACGATATCTTAGTAATTTCTATAATACATGTAAATGATTTATCATTATTTATATGCATTACAGGAATAAATAAATATATATGTTTATATATGCATATTTGTAATAGTTGCTCTTATTGATAAAATTATAATGATTTAAGAAATATATTTTATTAATATTCTGTTTATTTTTTCTTTTGTGAATCAGATTTAAAATAAAATCTGTTTGATTCAATTGAGTATTTTGACTCTTTTTTTGGTGCTGTTTTCAACTATCACAATATTAATTATGTAGTAGGTGGTGAACAAAATAGAGATTGCATTTTTAAAACATATGTCAATGATAGCTCTACTTTCGGCCACTACTGTAAGTGTCAATATCATCATAATGTCAATAAAGTAGAAACTCAATTATCTGGTATGAGATTATCCAAAACAGTTGTTGAAAAAAAAAACAAGAATGTGTTTTTTTAACAACTATTTAACATACCACAGAGTATAATACACAGAGACCAAAAACTTGGGAAAATTACTAAGCCATGAAACTAGACTATATATATAACATTACATTGCATTTTGAGTAAAATAATTTACTTTCACAGTAATTGCATTACGGTATTTATTGTTCATGAAGCTTGCACAGGGCTTGATGTATCCAAAACACAGAATCAAACATGTTTCTGGATTATCAGAAATTTTATTTATCCAAAAGATTCCTGGTCCCATCAAGTTCAGATAATCAATTTTCCATTGTAATAACATTTTGAACATTATTTTTATTAATATAGGATAAAAATTTGATTAAATGAAACATTATCAAATTATCTTGAAAATAGTGTTATATAGATTTTATTTTTTAATTATTCTTGCCTAAATAAGTATCAAAATATATTTTGTATACAAAATGATTGAGTTGTTTTTTATTTTAATGGTTTTATAGTCAAAAACTCATAATACAAGATTTTTTGTCATTAGGTTGTTGAAAGAAGTCAAAGGTCAAGAGCCGAAGCAAGAGATAATCGTGTTAGAGAATACTTCTATGGATTAAGAACTCCACTATATCCACATTCTTTTGATGTGAGATTTAGTGATATCAAGATATATAAAATTGGAGGTAGCTTTTATTAAACTATTACTTATCTTTTATGTCTTGATGTTATTTTATAATTTATTGTTTTGTTGTAAATAAATTAAATTTCAGATTTAATAAGTACAATCAAACCTTGGTTTATGAACTTAATTTGTTCCTAAAAGTTGTTTGGAAACTGATTTGACCGAAACAAATTTTCTTATAAGAAACAATCTAAAAGGGATTAATCTGTTTCTGACCCCCAAAATAAATTTTTTTTTTTATACCTTTTTAGCTATATTTCATGCATAAAAATGCCTTCAAATGCAATTATTATTTTATGTAATATAATATTATCNATTCAGAGACTTAACCATGTTTGAGCAAAGTTTTTAAGAATATAATAATTCTGATGTCCTGGTTTGCACATTCAACCGATTCCCAAGATTGACTGTGCCTCAGTTTTCCATAACTATCTTTATACAGCCCATATGTCACATAAAAATTAGATAATTTGATTACAAAACTCTCTACCATTGCCCAAATGAAGGATATTAGGTGCACCAAAAGTTGTGAAAATATTCAAAAGATGACATACAACTTCCTCAGTCCTTTTTGATTTTAATGCTCAGAGAATAATAAATTCTGTCAAATGATTCTGGTATACCAATGTGAACTTCATTCTTATACTTATGATTCAGTTCCATGGCCATCTGAGTTCTCCACCATGACCAATAGTAATATAAGCTTCATGTATTGTGTTAAACAGTTCATCAAAACAAACCAAAAAAAAGAATTTCTTTTCCAGTAGAAACTGGTGCTATTAGTATTGAGAACATCATGCCTCTTCAAACATCTATAGCAAACAGATTTTTTACTGGTTACATTTTTTGCATCTTTCACTTTTTTTTCAAAAGTTTTTACAATATGTAGTGAATGGTTGGTGAGTGATTGGCTTCACAGTAGGGATTGTGAAATTCATACTATTAGTAAAATATGTAATTTTATAAATTACTTTATAATTACTCTATTTGGTTGCTTGTAAGATACACTTATCCTGTCTTAGAAGCTGAATGTGGCAATACAACAAATAATGATTAAGATCTTGATAAGCATATCAGTAATAAATCTGATAAAATAAACTTTTTCTTCTTTTAACTGAAAATTATAAATCAACACGTGATTGGATGCAGTCATATAGCATTCTACAGCTGAGGAGGAATACTTAGATACTTGAAATGTATTTTTTAAAGCACATAAAATATCAATAAAAAAGAATAAAGATGTGTTTTCATTTTATTATTGGTAAACTATTGCCTTGTTTAAAAAACCAAGTATTTGAGGAAATTAGATGCAAAAGGTATGTCCATTTTAAAAAAAATGAAAAACCTATTTATGATCAATAAAGAAGTGGCATTTAGATCATTAAATTAGAATTTACTGAAAAAACAACAAACCTCATATTTGCTTATGAAACGCAATGGCTCAATGCAAATAGTAACACATCCAGAATATGGATGTGAGCAAAACTAAGCAATTATCAATTATTTCTTAATTAATGGCCATAGTATATTTTGCAATTGAGCTACTCATTTGAAAACTATGGGAATAAAAATAACATTAAAAATTAAGAAAGAAGTTGAAATTAAAAACAAAAAAATTAAGAATTGAATGTCAGTGGCACTCTTTAACATTTTAAAGAAAATCTGATTCTGAAATATTGCATTTCTTAAAATTGTCTTACATTTTTCAACTAGGACTAACATAATAATAATGTTTTTGCTTTTTGCCCTTATACTTATTAAACGTATTATATTAACTGTTTTAAGTTAATATAATATGTTTAACTGGGGATAAATTGTCATTTTCATTCTTTGTTGATGGGAGCCCTGTATGTTTTCATTATAAATTTTATTTAACTTTATCTTATTTATGTCACTAAGTTAGTTCTTTATATTTAACATATATCAAAAAATTTTGGTTTTTAGGACAAATTTTCTGGAATTTTAATTTATTTCTACATTGTGTGAATTATTGTTTGTACGTTTTCCTGAATGTAACTTCAGGTAAATCAAACCAACAGATTAAATCAACATTTCAGTAATTTTTGTTTACTGTAAAGCTTAATTGGTTTTAATATTCTTAGCATCAACAGTCAAACAAAGATAAATATAAATATATATATATTTTTAAAGCAATGTCTTTGTTTTAAAAATTTTAATTCAAATGATTATTTAAAAAGTTTTACAAGAAAATAATTGAAGAAAACAGAAATTCTTCATCTTTTGTCCATATCACACCTCAGGAACAAACAGTCTTACAACAGAGTTAATCTTTTAATGTAGGCTCCTTAACCACCACAATATGTAAAACATTTGCGGTTGGATGGCTGAGCGGTCAAGGTGGCAGCCTACTGCTCTGGGGGACCTGGGCTCGAATCCAAACGGATCAAAAAATCCCAGGAATTTTTCGGGGGTGGTCTGTTCGGATATGTCGGGCCCCATCCCTCACCACCCAGCAGCTCCATTGTGGGCCTTGCCGAACCCATAATGGGCTTGTAAAAAAGAGGTCCTCTTAGTGCTCACAGGGCGGAAAGAGTTAAAAAAAAAAAAAATGCAAAACATGTACTAGCCTAAAATAAAAGGTTGACTCCACTATAAGACTGTCTGTTCCTGAGGTGTGATATGGACAAAAGATGAAGAATTTCTGTTTTCTTCAATTATTTTTTTTGTAAAAATTATTAAAAATATAATTATTGTCCTGGCTTTTTTACTAATTTTATTAATGTTAAATGATTTTGTTTTTTAATTTAAACCTTAGTTGTGTTTTTAATAAAGGTAAATATTTTGAGAAGCATTTTTTTTATTTCATGATATACTTATTCTAAAAACTCAAGGAATAAAGTTCTGAGAACCTGAGTCTGCAGATTCCTGGCAGTCCACAAATGTATTGGGGACTGCCAGGAATCTGCAGACTCAGGTTGAGAAAACACTTTATTACCTGAATTTTCTTGGTGACCTAGGTAACAAAAATATGAGTAACCATATTTCTGGATATCTATTGATCTTTGGTGGCAAAAAGAGTACTTTCTACTATCACCAACATTGGGAACAGTCCAGTTTTTTTTTTATTGCACCATATAGGATAAATATATTTGAACATATTTTACTAGAAACAGAGAATAGAAAGAAATTTTTCAAAGATTAATAAGCATTCTATATATATAAAAAGATTAAATATTTGATACAGATGCAAGATTTGTTTTATAATTATCTAATAATATAACATTCTTATACTAAGTATACTTATATAGAAAAAAATGTTTTTTTTTAAATTTGAAATTGAATAATAATTATTTTTGATGATAATAAATATGTTTTGTGAAATTTTAATGCTTTTGTTTTTTATAATTTTGTTTAAAAATTTTTATATTTTATATAGCAGCCAATTTACTTCATTGTGTCTTGAGTGTTAGTTTTGCTGGAAGTATAGAAGAAGATATTATTCAGACAAATGTTGCAGGCTTCATTTGTGTGTAAGAAAATTTTTAATGCTTATTATTTTTCCTGATAACTAGAATTAAATTAAATAATTAGTATTGTAAGTTTATTCTTTGTTGTATTACTAAGAAAATAGAAATCTAAAAAAAAATCATAACTAAACGAAAGCTAACAATTTTATTTTGAAATGATCATTATAGGTTATAATAGCTCATATGCTACACTTTTATCTATATTTCAACTTTTTGAATTTCATATTACTGAGTGTTTTGAATTTCATTTATTTAAATGAACCTGTATAAAATTTCATAAATCCTATAATTGAACTTTAATTTTAAATTGGTATTACCCACTTCTTCTGTTACAATAATTCATCATCAGTATTTTATCTTGTCCTTTTCTTCCTTTGTTCATCCTTCAACAATAGCCAGTATCAGTAACATATTTATACTTTTTAAATTGTTAACTAAAATATGTAGTCTAGAAAAAGGATGAAAGATTTTATTATACAATAAGAGAGTAAGTACCTCAACTCACATTTGGGAATATATTTATAAATACACACTCAAGTGTGAGTTAGTTCATGATTTTTTTTCTTGCAATACTGTAACATACAGTATTAATTTATAGGTGTAATCTGCTTATCAATTCTTATTTTTCAGTTGCCTTTTTATGGAACAAATTTTAATGTTTACTGTTTGCTCCATCATCACAATTTGCATAATAAAAAAATCCCAACTACACATCAAAAACAGATACATAAATGAGTTTGTAGAAGGGAGAAAACAGATTCAGCTGTTATAGCACACATTGAATCAAATTTCTTTATATAAAAGTTGAAATTATTACACAAGCTTTCACAAAGTGATATGTAAGCATTTACATTTTGTATCTATTTTTAATCCATTTGTCATATCAATTGAAAATTCTTGTAAATTGGAGGGAAAAAAATGCATTTTTGCTTCCAGTTAATAATTTTTCAAACAACTATAGATAAATTTGTTTATTTGTTTACACATTTTCAAGCATATTAATATGAATAGTTTTTGTCTGTTTGATGATGATGTAAAATGAAAAAATAATGAAATACTCATATTATGCATATGAACAATATGTCAGCATAAAATATATTCCTGTGAAAATCTTATATATAAATAAAATTTTCTTTAACTTGAGCATTTTATGTATGCAATATATCCAAGTATAAAAACATTCTCATAAAAGTTTTTACAAAAGTATCTGAATAATTTTAGATTATCATTAAATATTTTGAAATTTAATTTATGATTAGACCATGTTTTAAAAAAATTTCAATTTTTTATTCTAAATTTAGGTTAGAGNCCCTGAGTACCTACAAGTCAGGTTTTTTTTATGCGCGCATGACTTGGGGACTTAATACTCTATGCCAAATTGCAACTCCTGACATAGTACTCCTTCATACCTCTAAGCTGGTAACACAGCAGGCAGTACGATTTTATAGACAAGACATAGTCTTGTTGACAATTAATATTTTAAGGTAATATTGTTATTGTACAGCAACTTTTGTGAGACATTTAATTAAAAAAATTTCAATTTTTTAAATTTATAAAACAAACCGTTCAAACTTTTCTAGAAAAACTAAAATTTATTGTTGTGTTCCTTGCACAGAGGGATGCCACCATTTAGTAGTAACTCAAGAAAAATTCTCATAAAAGTTTTTACAAAAGTATCTGAATAATTTTAGATTATCATTAAATATTTTGAAATTTAATTTATGATTAGACCATGTTTTAAAAAAATTTCAATTTTTTATTCTAAATTTAGGTTAGAGGAAATAAAAATACTGTATATTCTTGCTAATTTGGCCGTTCCTTGCACAGAGGGATGCCACATTACAAAGAGACTATAAACTTAATGCATGCACATCATTCGTTGCCTTTAAGGCAGTGAATGATGTGACCTGTCATTGTCATCCTTTGATATTGATTTTTTTTAGTGGGTGGGCAAATAATACAGCAGACTAATGCAGCACAGTACACAAATGAAAGTTGAGTAGAGCAAAATAGGATGTCTGACACAACTAACATTTTCTTGGAATTGAGAACACACAGGTGATCCCACTTGGGGTATACTAGGTTAGTGAGAATCTACTAGTGCTGTGCTGGTAACTGATATATCAAAGGAATCTTGATAGCAAGCCAAATATTGATATCAAAATTTTGGTTTAGTACAGCTCTAGAGTCCACTGTGTTTTAGATTTTTTAAAGTTGTAAATTAAAAACATTTTAACATATTTTAATATTTATGAATAATATATATAATAATTATGGCATGTTTAAGAATATTATTTACTCATACTATGATGAAAACTTACTGTTGATTAATTTACCATGTAGTTTCTGTGTACTTTTTTTTGTTTCATAGAAAGAACTGTAAAGAAGGAAGATTGCTACTTCTAAAAGTAAATGAATAATGGCAATATATACTTCCTATAAAATTTTAAAAAGTTTTAAGAAATATATACTCATGGCCATAAAAATTAGCTCACCAAGTTGTTGTCATCAGAATCAAATGAAATTGTATGTGTGTGAGTGTAACGGAGATATTACAAAATGAAAGCAAAAAAATTATTTATTGCAGGAAAAACTACAAATGAAAGGAGGTTCTAGTACCCTGTTGGGCCACTTCTAGCATGTGATTTAGGTGGGCATGGTGCCATATGGTGTCTTGCGGCATCTCAATCCACAGTTGTTGCAAGCAGTCCTCTAGTTTGGCCAAACTTCTAGGCCATCCAACTTGGCATCCCAGGTGATCGCTGACATGTTTGATTGGTGACACTTTTGAACTGGGCAGTGCACTAGGAAAATGTGGCAGAGGCAGTCCTGTGACACCTTTGATGTGTGTGCTGGAGCATTGTCCTGTTGGAAAATGACTATTGGGAGCCCTGCCATGAGAGGCAATACATATTGCTTCAGGATGTCACTAACATACCACTGGGCTGTCATGATCCTTTGGATCACTACTAGAGGTGATTGCTGTCGTATGTGATGGCAACCCAGACCATCACACCAGCTGTGGGGGTGATGTGCTGCTGCGAAACGCAGGCAGAATTGAGGTTTTTATCAAGGAGCCTCCAGAACAAACACAGCCATCGTTAGTGCCCAAATTAAATCTGAGTTTATTGTTGTAGACAACTCAGTTCCATTCCATTGTGGTCCAATCCTGTTGGGAGCAACACCACTCCAAATGGATCAATGGCAGCATATGTAATGGCCACTATGATATCAAATATTTCTCATCCAGGTGCCTCAAATGGACAGACACAGTGGCATGTAATGATGGCACCATCTGTGTCTAAATGGCAGACAATAATATGTTCAGCTGTGTGTATGCGCTTATCATAGGACCAGGCAATCCTCTGGCTAGTGGTCTGCCAAGGGTGTTCTGAGCCTGTAACACTGTGTACGAGCTCTCTCTTGTCCACTGGTCCCGGTACCTCCTCACAGTGTTATCACAATGGCCTAGGTGGTGGGCTATTTGGCAAGATGATTATCTGGCTTCTCTCAACCTGATGATACTTCCCCTCTCAAACTTAGTTAGTTGTTCATATGATCTTTAATTGTGACTTAAAAGGCATCTCTAGTGATACAGTGTCCCTCTGCAACAAGTAAACTACAGACAGGATGCCTTTGTGTGCCTTTTTTTTTATAGGCCTCTGCTGGCATTACACAATGAGCCATCTAGCTATAACTCTAATCATTTCCATATCTGCTTGAGATTTACCTGCATGCCAAGTTTCACAGCAATACAACTCCTTGGTACACATTTTTATGGCAATGAGTGTATTTGTATTGGAGAAACTGCTTTATGGATAGTTTTGGTTTAGTTCGATGGGATAAGGCAACAGAACATGTGGGCAATTTTCCAGGGGGAGGGAGTGCTTCCTGGGAGGACTTTCTATGGGAAAATGGCCTGTATTTAGATGTTATACATACAACAAAAACCCAACAGACTCCATGTAAGACATGAACCCACAACTACTAGTGTTCAATGGTTTTATGCAATTGGCCATTGGTGTGCTTTGGATAGTTTTGTATCTTGCATTTTAGTCACTGTTTTGCTCACTTGTATTGGTTTGTATTTTGTTTGTTTTTGATATCTGAAAAATCCCAGTTTGGTGATGATAAATTTTTATATTATATTTAATTTAATAAATGATAAAAAGAATAAAAACAAATTAAAAGTTAGCTGAATTATGTGAAATTACTAAAATGAAATCATCTTCATTTTCACCATGTTCTTATTCTTTTATACAAAGTTTTTAAAATATGAGTGTTTATCTTAAAGTGTTATCCAAACATACATAGTTATATTAGTTTGTATATTAATCAAAATTACTTATTGAAATTTTAAATTTTACTTTTTCAGAACTGCTGTTGACATGGAAAGACAATTGCTTACTGTTCTGTCTCCTCGTCCTCGACCATTGCCAAAAACTGTTTTACTTTTAAGTGATATACAATTTATGGATTCTCACTGATTTGTATTTATAATGTATTTTAATTGTACTGATAAATCTCATATGTACATAACTCATATAACAAATAAAACATTTGTTGACAAAAGAATTTTTGAAGAAAAAGCTGTAATTATATTTTTTATTATATAAGAATTATTATACATTTAAAAAACTTTTTATAATAAACATATTTTTCACATATGAGTCACAACTTTATTTAGTTGAATAGATATTAACAAAGCAAATATAAATAAAGTATGTTGAAATAAAATTTTTTTGAATGATAAAATTATATTGAGTTTAGAGAAGAATTTACAATTTTGTAGGAAATTCCTCTGCTAACAATCTAGATACTTTGCAGAAATCTGAAGAAATGTTTGTTTTATGATTATGAGAACGTTTAATGGATTTAGATTTGTTAGATTGACTTAAAAGATTATATAATCCAGAATGGTAATAAATAGGATTATATTCTTCCAACTTCTGCAAAACATCTAAATATCCCTGTACTAAAGCAGTTGTATCATCTGATGTAATTGAATGTTCTAAACTTGTATTAGGAAGCAACATTTCTCTACTGCATGCAGATCTTATTAATAAAGAATTATTTTCTGAAGGAAATAACAAAAAGTAATCTGCAGTTTTAAATTCTGACATTCCTTGACAAAAGTGATTGTCCTTCTTGGCAACTAAAACACTATTTATTTGTTTTAACAATTGACATATTGTTATAAATATTTGTTGATTGTTTTCTAATTCTTCCCAATCAAGTTTCCAACATTGAGTTGGAATTAAAATCAATGGTTGACCATATAGAAGGGATTCACATATACCTGAACTATTAACTATTGCTATTACTTGTAATTGATATATTGGTATTTTTCCATCTGAATTTTTGTTCTGATTGGAAACAAACTGATTGATACCAATATCAGTAGCTAATCTACATGAATTGTTTCCAAGTACATCAGGATTAATAAGACATTCTTGAGAATCGCATTTTATCTTTAAAATATCAGAATCGGATCGATAAATATTGAGATGTAGATGTTCTACATCTGTGTTGTAATCTTTAAACCATTGTTTAAAATGCTTCTCTAATTGATAAGGATCACAATCAAAATTCAATATTTCAATAAAGTTAAATTCTTCATCTGGCCATAAAGATGGTGAAGAAATTAGTTCTTGGTGTTGAAGGTGATTCAAAACAATTACCTGTTTAAATCAAAGAGATATTTGAATTTTAAAATAATGAATACTTTAATGCAGTGTTTTTCAACCTTCTTGAATACGCGACCCCTTTACAAGTTAAAAAATTCTGGCGACCCCAGGGCCATATTAAAACTATATCAGTGATTTTAAAAACTAAGTATTTAATTTTCTTTCTGTTGAGACCTAAATATCGATCGAAAAACCAATTNAAAGTAATTATATAAATGATTTATTTTGTTAACTGAATGGATTTATTTTCTAGCACCTTCTCTCCCTGATTCATGTATGCCATTAGGAATGAAAGCAGAAGACAATCATACTAAAGTTGTTCCTGTCGCTTGTTGTAAGTAATTAAATATTACTATTACAGTAACATGTACAGTACCTGAATTTATTTTAATAAAGTCTGAAGACCGATAACTCTTAGAAATTACTGGTAAATCTGGATAGTTACTGATATTGAGTGTTTAAAGTTCAAAATTCCTGATAAAATGATGTTCAATATTTATAACCAAAATTGTTATTGGTTTTGCATTGATCTTTGCTTAGTATACATCCAGTACTTTGATTCTTACATTCTGTCCAACTGACGGTTTTGGAATTTTGTTACAAGAAGCTGTTTTCATTTTCTTTGCTTGCATTTCAAGGCCGCCTTTGGCAGTCTTTCAAAACAGTATCACTTCTTTTGGCCCTGTTAGAATTTGTCAGTCATGTTACAACTCTCAGGAGATAATGGGTCTTTGGTTCCAATTTCAACTAATGTCAAAGGCTGTGTTCCTGCTGCCTCATTGTCTGCTTCAACTGTATTTTCTTTCTGCCTCCTGCAGCTTTATTCTCTGCTCAAATTGTATTTCCTAACTATGTTCATCCATTTCCAATGTTTAACATTTTTTTCCAAATCTTTAGTGTATGTTGTTTACTAAATCACACGGAACAATTGAAAATATGAAGTTATGTCTGATGTTCCATTTTCATTGGAATATCAAACATAACTTCATATGTTGGACGTTTGATCTGTTCTTCATTGATTGCACAGACAAAATAAAACTTCAAAAAGCTTTCAGGCCATTTTGAAGTTTTATTTGTTTTTGTCCAACTTGATAACACATTTCCAATGTCTTTCTTTTTAAAAAAAAAAACTTTAAAAATTTTTTAAGATTTATAATTTAATCTGAACCTTATCTATACTGAATTTAATAGGACATATTTTATGCAGAAGACAACTTTATTCTTATTTATTTCTATTAATAATAAATAAAGTTTTCAAGTAAAATCTGTCTTGTTAAAATGGTATAAAGGTTCCAATTAAATGAGTATACCTTAAAAGAATTTTTAGTTTTTTAAAAAATTTTAATTGATTCAGAGACTTAACCATGTTTGAGCAAAGTTTTTAAGAATATAATAATTCTGATGTCCTGGTTTGCACATTCAACCGATTCCCAAGATTGACTGTGCCTCAGTTTTCCATAACTATCTTTATACAGCCCATATGTCACATAAAAATTAGATAATTTGATTACAAAACTCTCTACCATTGCCCAAATGAAGGATATTAGGTGCACCAAAAGTTGTGAAAAGATTCAAAAGATGACATACAACTTCCTCAGTCCTTTTTGATTTTAATGCTCAGAGAATAATAAATTCTGTCAAATGATTCTGGTATACCAATGTGAACTTCATTCTTATACTTATGATTCAGTTCCATGGCCATCTGAGTTCTCCACCATGACCAATAGTAATATAAGCTTCATGTATTGTGTTAAACAGTTCATCAAAACAAACCAAAAAAAAGAATTTCTTTTACAGTAGAAANTTATTAATAAAGAATTATTTTCTGAAGGAAATAACAAAAAGTAATCTGCAGTTTTAAATTCTGACATTCCTTGACAAAAGTGATTGTCCTTCTTGGCAACTAAAACACTATTTATTTGTTTTAACAATTGACATATTGTTATAAATATTTGTTGATTGTTTTCTAATTCTTCCCAATCAAGTTTCCAACATTGAGTTGGAATTAAAATCAATGGTTGACCATATAGAAGGGATTCACATATACCTGAACTATTAACTATTGCTATTACTTGTAATTGATATATTGGTATTTTTCCATCTGAATTTTTGTTCTGATTGGAAACAAACTGAGTGATACCAATATCAGTAGCTAATCTACATGAATTGTTTCCAAGTACATCAGGATTAATAAGACATTCTTGAGAATCGCATTTTATCTTTAAAATATCAGAATCGGATCGATAAATATTGAGATGTAGATGTTCTACATCTGTGTTGTAATCTTTAAACCATTGTTTAAAATGCTTCTCTAATTGATAAGGATCACAATCAAAATTCAATATTTCAATAAAGTTAAATTCTTCATCTGGCCATAAAGATGGTGAAGAAATTAGTTCTTGGTGTTGAAGGTGATTCAAAACAATTACCTGTTTAAATCAAAGAGATATTTGAATTTTAAAATAATGAATACTTTAATGCAGTGTTTTTCAACCTTCTTGAATACGCGACCCCTTTACAAGTTAAAAAATTCTGGCGACCCCAGGGCCATATTAAAACTATATCAGTGATTTTAAAAACTAAGTATTTAATTTTCTTTCTGTTGAGACCTAAATATCGATCGAAAAACCAATTGTGCTGTAAATTTTACAGTACAACTGGTTTTTCAGGTTTATTTTAGAGTGTAAAATAAACAGGCAAAGCCTTATCACTGAAATTGTAGTGTTTTTTTTATTGTAGTGTAGGACATACAAACACTTGTCTTTTTCTTTTACCCGCGACCCCCGTGTCAGGCTTTGCGACCCCCCTGGGGGTCGCAACCCACAGATTGAAAAACACTGCTTTAATGAAATATTGAATTATTCACTGTATCAAAGATCGATACAGTGCATAATTCAATATGTATTAGTCATAGTTTGAGCCAACAAGTTATAGTTGGCCTAATAAAATTGTTCTAAAATTTATCTTTCTGGTTCTACCACTTACAATAAATCATATAAAACTTTCCATCATAAACAGATAGTTATTATGTGCAAATGTTTGCATAACATTTTAACTTTTCTTATGTAAACCGTTTTATTTTAATAAGGGTATCCAACTACTAGTTATAATATCTGATTAAAAATCAGATATAAAATTGGGTGTTGTAATAAAACAGTCGGTTATACCTCGTATTATGATTTAAGCTGGGCCATGTTCAGTAACGTAGAATGCTAAGTAAGAAGTCTACTTGGTTAGGAGACAGTACTCAAAAATTGTTACGAGTTTCTGATTGGTGGCTCCAGTCAGACCAGGCGTGTTAAAATGGTGGAACAGAAAAGTCGAAGTCACCTTACAAAAGAAAATGCTGACCGAACTACTAAGAATGCTAGAAGGCGGAATCCGGGATTGTGGCATAACTAGGTTTAACAAAACTGATTTACGAAACACCACTCTGGCTCAGGACTAACGTTGTTTTAGTCCCATGGTCCATGCAGTGGCGGATCCAGAAGAATCCAAAGAAGTACTACGTCAAAAACTAAAAATATTTGAATAATTATAAGTAAGTAGAGCGTCGATTATCCGAAAGTCAATCATCCGAAAGAATTCCAGTCGGCAAATTTAAATTTTCGCCAGTGCTGTGGCGCTGCAATCTTTGGCTATGTCTTGGGCTACTCAAATATTTTACGTTTTTGATACTAAATTAACTTCTGAAGTATAATTTTTTATTGTTTTTATATTTTTCAATNAAAAATTATGAAATCGAACTCGAAGGTTATATATCTTTCAATAAAAAGAAAACATTCGACCTCACAGGGATTCGATCTAGCGGTCTTGTAGTGATTGCAGTGCCCCTGGTGGTAACATTTGTCTCTAGTTGATTCTAGCAACGAGCGAAGATAGGAAGTCGAAAGACCAGTTAATCTACCGACTCTGCCAATACCAAGTATGAGAGACCTGCCAGTATGGAATATGTTCATCTCGAACTGAGATGCAAGACTTATAACATCATGGAAGGGTTGTTACCAAGACTTTTTCTAGCTATTATCATCAGCAATAGTTCGTCCTCAAGTTTTGAACGCGTGTGTATTTTGAGATGATGATCCTCATTCTACAAAAATAAAAGCAACTACATAATTCCAGTACAGATATTCATTACGAATGCTTTCAATCATATTTAATGCTAATCCGCAGAGAAAGAAGAGAGAATGTACTTAGTTACTTCAATGCGATTCTTATCATTCTGACAGATAATAAGTTATTAAATGTTCTCATTTTTTCACATTTGCTACCAAAATAAACTTAATCTGATTCTATTTAGCATGTCTGTTTTCATTGGTATTATACTCTTTAAAGACATGTTTCACTTTTATGATTATACAAATTCTGGAACCAAAATATTATTAAGTTTCTAAAAATAATTCTATAAACTATAAAGTAATGTTTACTGTTTACAGTTTTTAATAAACTTACCTGAATTTTTTTTATTTTGTTTATCTGCAAAGTTTTATAAGTATTTTCTATTTGTTTCACAAATGTTTGTTCCTTCTGTGTAGTAATAAAGGTTAGTTGCAAACTCTGCCAACATTCTTTATTGGTATCCTGAAAATTTTCAAGATTTATAATATTGTTTAAAATTATAATAGCCCCTGTTAATCGCGCATATTGGGAAACAAAACAAATAAGCGATATATAACTTATGTATTTATCCATCTGTTTAGTATTTTTTACCTCTATGCAAACTTGCTTGTATCATGTCATGAAATCTTGCAAATCAAAATTTCATTCATTTCTAATTAAGATAGAAGACTGAAACTTTGAGATATGCCTAAATCTAATGACAATGCAGTTTAGTGATGTTTTAGGAAGATTGCTCTATCCCGAAATCCGATAAGCATAACCAAATGTGTAATGATGTATGTCTTTAAATGTATAGGCCCACCATTGACCAAGCGGTCTTCGACCCCGAACACTGGGAGATTGGTCGTGGTTTCGCGCCTCGCTCGGACGGGCTGAGCACGTGAAGTTTTCGGGGTTTTCTCCACGTCTGAAATGCTTAAATAGGAACTAGTTTCCCTTAAAAGACCTTCCGGAAGGCATCCCCTAGACAGATCGCATAAGTGTTGCGTTGCCATAACTAAACAAGCAAACCTTAAATGTATTGCAGTAATAGAGGAAAAGCACCAAAGTGGATCCCCGGCTTATTTCGAGAATGTGCTGTTGCAGACTAGCAATAAAGGTAGAAAAGATTGTGAAGTACAGTATTTACATCAACCTTTGGAATTGTTATTATTCAGTTTAGTTTTCTTGTCTGTGAAGTGTGAGTTTTTATTCTGTGCTATCTGCACAATTGCTCATCACTTCACTTCTAAACAGGTAAAAGTTCGTTTCTCATTACTATCATATAGTAGTAGAAACAAAGTAACGGATTATACGCTTTAACCGTTTCTGATACACAATGATTAACGATGCCAACGCTGTAATTCCTAAGCGGAACTTCCATGAGTTCCATCGATAGTAGGATCTCGCACTTTTTTAAACATTATTTTCAGTTCGATTAATTAAGCCATTTTATTGCAAATTAAAATGGCAGACGGCATATTCACAAATTTAAATATGTGAAATATACCGTCATTAAATCATTTTGTTTACATTGAAAACAATGACAGATGACGAGAGAAGAAAAAGAATCCACGGTTAATGTCATCTATGAGAGGGAAGATGGAATGGAAATAGCACTAATATTTTGAGTCCCAAAAACTATTTTAATGAGGTTATCACATCGAAAATGTAACAATCTCACGTCTGCATGTTTTGTGATAGAAAGTGATCATCAGATTGTCGCGATGAACTATGTACAATGAACTGATTGAGTCTAAGTAGAATGTTCAGAAGCAGAGGAAAACGCCACGTAGCCAGGCGAAGCGTGAACCCACAACCGAACTCCCAGTGTTCAGGGAACGGAAGCGCTTGTTGGGCCGTTTGTGAATTAGGCCTATATTTCACACAATAGTAGTTTCAAGGTCAAAAATTGGAATAATGTAACATTTTTTTTTGTCAATAGAAATGAAATGACAACCGATATTTTAACAATTATCAGCTGAAATGCTTTTATATTTGGAAAACAAAATAAAATCGCAATACTACTATGATCAAAATGTATCGGGATGTTTTTTCATCGTTTGGTACGACTTTCATCGACATCTAGCAGCAATCCGTGTTATCGTCTACTTTCGTTTATTTGCAATTAAATAAACGAAGGCAGACTATAGAGAATTCAATATCACTACAGGTCTCATTTTAAAATCATCTTCAAGCGAGAAGAATTCGAAACACTTTTTTAATCTTATCAAATACGAATTTCGTTATCCGTTACGGCATTGGAAATTTAGAACACACATTTGAGAGTGAAAATCAAATTCAAATAATTCGAAATAATTCGATAATTCAAATTCAAATACAGAGATTGGATGTAGGCCGACAAGACCTCACTCGGGGGGGGGAGTAGGTCCAATATCACTACACAGACGATTCGCAAAAACGATTTTAAAGCATGTTTCGAGGATTGGAAAAAATTTGACATTGCAGTGGGAGGGGATTACTTTGAAGGAGACGAAATAAATTTTGATGAATAAATTCAAATCTTGAATTTCATTGAACCATTTCCGATACGTTTTGATCGCATTGGTTATATCCGAACGAGCGATATAACGAGGAGCTGCTATAATTTACAAAATTCACATACCTCTAAGTATTGTTCATACTGGTTACTAATTTGACGAAAAAGATTAGTAAAAGTATGGCTGCTGCATTTACCAGTTGATATATCTTGACAGGCAGTTACAACATTGTCGATCAAATTAACAAGCTTTTTATTACTTTGAACTGGCTGCATTGGGATTACTGATTTAACTACATCAGCGCCGAATAAAAAGAAAGCGAAACAAGGAATTCTCGGTGAACCTTTCAAGCGTGAACACAAACCCAAGACGTTCTTCAGACATTCACATAAATGACTAATAATATTTAAAGTTACGGAACCGGCATCTAAAACTATACATTGAGCACGCTGGCGATTAAAAACGTTTCTCCATTCTAATTGTTTGTCCATGTTTTATACCGTTTTTAGTAATCAATATTATACTAATTACAGTATTCGAAATTTTCATATAAAGCAGACGATAATAAACTTTGCATAACGCCATCTGACGGAAGATTATCTATTCGAATTATTTATTATTTGAAATTATTATAAAATACTAATGCCTTAAATTTTAATACATTTTATTTTAATATTATTATTTTCATTTGTCATTATTTCATTTAAATAGTAGGTTATAATGACCTTTTTTAAAATTTTTTTCCGCTTTAGGCACCGAGAAGGCCCTTTCTTCCCCAAACCTTCTATGGGTTCAGCCAGCTAACAATGGGACGGCGCCCAACATATCTCAGACAAACTACTCTTCAAAAATTTCCTGAGGCTTTTTCACCATCCTGGATTTGATCCCAGACCCCTAGACAGGTAGACTGACACATTACGCCTCGGCCATTCCATATAATTACCTATTAAACACAATGAAATTTTTTATTGAACGTATGAAAATTCTTTAATATTTACAAATTATTTGCTTGATGCAATTAAATAAAACTGAGAAAGACTAATATAGACAAAGAAATGGGGTTTGCTATATTACGTATTAAACCTGATATTGATGAAATATACAAAATCCAACAAGCTCTGGTATCACATTATAATTAATTTAAGAAGTTCCACTTTTATAAAAGATCTCCTTGTTTCTTTTAATTTGGTTTATATCAGTGACGTGCCGTGACATTTGATAGTAGGGAAGCTGTGTTTTTGTAAGAAGCCGATTTCCAGGGGCAATCAGTTAATTGCGCGTCAGTGATGGTCAAGGGTCTATTCGTATCGTTTGTTCGATAAGCAAGTAAAAACCGTAGACTTCTCTAAATGTATTTTTAATATCACAATTACATTCCGAATCGCTAGCCACGATTTAAGGACTACAATTAAAAATAAAATTATAAAAGCTTACTTGGTGAAATAAAATGTGTGGTAGATATACCGGTACATACCTGGTACAAAATATTCTTCAATTGTATGAATATACTTTTAAAGTAAATTATAATTAAATATAGCTTTGTAAAGAAACGTACAGTACATAAAAATATAAAATATTCTTTACGTTTTAAATCTTAAAACAATGCACTTAGGCTGTGTACACATTAAGTGTTTTGCGTGGCGTTAAACGCGCGTCAGCAGCGTACACACCGCTCGTTAGTTCGGCGTTCGACGACCGTTTAGTGGAGCGTGAGCACTGGCTCCGTTTGGAAATGGACGTGAAAGTAATTGCTTGTGTGTGCCTCCTCCATAGTCGCTATAAAAGACAATGGCAGAGGCACAGAGAATTTTGGGTGCACCCAATATTACGAGATAGATTGACGCATGGAATGTTTGTGACGTTGTATCCAAAACTAACACAATATGAACCCAAATTTTTTAATTCTTTTACAATATCTATAAAATCATTTGACGATGGCTGGTCTCTTTTAGATTTCATCAATTAATAGACCAGTATCGAAATGATCGTTCTCCATTTCGGCCAATGTACGTCCACTCTACCCGAAAGCGCGCGATCGAATGTACTGTACAACAACATGGCAGCACATATATCTCGAAGCACGCGGCTGAAGCCCGCGAAACGCGCGTTCTAACAAAAATATATCAACGCGCGTTTGAGGCGCGCTTGGCCAGAAGCGCGCGTTTGAATATGTATACCTATGCAGAACTCTTGGTTTTTTAACAGTGGCGTGCCGTCATTAGAAGCGGTGGATGAACCGCTTCCTTTATATTTTCTAAAAAATAAATACATATTAATTTTAATTATATGAAAATAATCGCACAATATTTTATTATAACCGCATTATGTATCTTATTACAAATTTCTATACTACACGTGAAAAAAAAATTGCTATTGTATATTAGAATATTAGTGGCGGAGTGGAATCTCCTGTATTTTCAGATTACGAAAAGCCAGATTTGCGCATGCGCTTTACAGAGCACCAACCTCACCCGGTTTAGCCGGTGGAAGCCTACGACCTTGGGTGAAAGCTGCACACATATAAAGATTCCAATTCTATCAAGGACCGGTTCTGGGCTGTTAGCCGCCTGCCCACTAGATATTTCGATTACGTGAATAACGAGTAGATTTATAACTTAACCCAACCGATAAGAATTTACTGGTATGTTTTTACGATAGTTCTGTATAGTTGACAGGAGTTAAAAAAATCCATTAAAATATTTGATATATTTATTCCGCTTTCCGATTTTATATTACTCACGGATTTCGATGTTAAACCAGTGATATTACGATTTCGTACATCCCATCTTTAAGGGGATGTAGAAAAAAACGTGTACAATTCTTGTATAATGTTAAAAAATTAACTGTTACTTTGGTAGCATCATTTACAACTAAATTTAATGAATGAGAGAGATGCACGAGGTACAGAAAAAACTCTAGAATTTATTTTCCTTACATTTATGATTTATGTATCCGTTTGCCATAAAAATTTGTCTTTCCACTTTTTTCCCGAGACTACAAACATTCGAGTACAAAATAACCGGTTTCGACTTATTTCTACTTAAGAAATAGTTAAATAATTAAGCGATTAGGGAAATGGGGACATAAACAAAACCCTGATGAAAGAGCCGAAATTTTACTTAAACAAAAGGTTAACCGAACCATCTCTAGCCGAGTACAGTGGAGACTGATTTCTTGGTATTATTAATGTAATAAAGACAGAAATTTTTCCAGTTCAATGAGAGTGACCGAAAAGTTGTAAATTTTGGAAATTTCTTAGTACACTTGGTCTTAAAACGAATTAGTTAGAAAACATATGACTATTAAGTTTAACATATTTAGATTTTTACAACTATAGTGAGAAATGTTTAAAATCTACAACAGCCCTGTCGCGTCCTTTGAGAGATACTAGTGATGCGACAAAAGAGGTATTTGACATTGACCGGTATCGGCACCCTGGGGATTTGGCAGTCTGCATGTATGCACGCTCTGCAACCGTCTTCGATTCCATCTATTAGCCACTCGTAGGGAGCTATTTGACTAAGTGCATTGTTTTAAGATTTAAAAAGTAAAGAATATTTTATGTTATTTTTATGTAAGTACATTTCTCCACAAAACTATATTTAATTATAATTTTCTTTAAAAGTGTATTCATACAATTGAAGAATATTTTGTACCAGGTATGTACCGGTACATCCACCACACATTTTATTTCACCAAATAAGTTTTTATTATTTTATTTTTAATTGTAGCACTTATATCGTGGCTAGCGATTCGGAATGTAATTGTGATATTAAAAATACATTTAGAAAAGTCTACGGTTTTTACTGGCTTATCGAATAAACGATACGAACGGACCCTTGACCATCACTGACGCGCGATTGACTGATTGCCCCTGGATGTCGGCTTCTTATAGAAACACAGCTTCCCTATCATCAAATGTCACCGCACGCCACTGTTTTTAAAACGCGCGTTTAAAAACGCCTAATGTGTACACAGCCTTAGTCAAATAGCTGTCTACGAGTGACTAATGAATGGAATCAGAGACGGTCCTGGTAGGTGCATGCACGCGGGTTGCCAAATCCCGAGAGTGCCGATACCGGTCAATGTCAAATGCCTCTTTTGTCACATCACTAGTATACAAAGGACGTGACAGGGTTGTTGTAAATTTTAAACATAGCTGTAAAAATCTAAATATGTTAAACTTAATAGATTGTTTGTCGTTTGTTTTCTAACTAATTCGTTTTAGGACCAGGTGTTGTCCATGGAAATTTCCAAAATTTACAACTTTTCGGTCACTGTCATTGAACTGGAAAAATTTCTCTCTTTATTACATCTAATATTACGAAGAAATCAGTCCCCACTGTACTCGGCTCGGTTAAGCTTTTGTTTAAGTAAAATTTCAGCTCTTTCGTCAAGGTTTTATGTTCCCAATTCCCTAATCGCTTAATTATTTAACTACTACTTAAGTAGAAATAAATATGAGGCCCCGGAAATAGCCCCCAAAAGGGAAAGATACTAAAAAAAAGTTTGTTAAGTTCAATCGTCAAGAAAGCAAATTATATAAGTGTCGAATCGGCGACACCGGACTTTGACGTCGACGCTCATAGAGAATAACTGGAAAAACAAAATTGTAGATAAAAGAAGAAAATTTAAAATATTAAAAGTTAAGACGCAGTTTGGAAAGTAAAACGAAACTAGAAAAAATATCAAAATGAGCGTAGGTGTCATAGTCAACAATTAAACGCGATCAGAGTCGAAAAGATGGTGTCGGATAAACAATCTCCAGCCGACCTTTCTCGCGAACTTTAAGGAGCTCCATTTACACCTGGAGACAGGTGGAAGACTAATTAAAAAACGGTGATGTAAGGTCTATCCAATTAGCAAAAAACCAACATCGAAAAAAAGGATAAAAGCACCAATTCCAAGGACAACGGAGACTTCCACTAGACTTCTGTTGTGTTCGTGTATCTCCGTTTCTTCGTGCATCCTTTCATCTTTTGTGCGTCGACTTTCGAGACTTCGAACTTTTGCTCAACACTGTCCAGGGGCCCTACGACGCAAGACCAGAATCGACGTCGAAATTTCCTACAGCACAGGACCTTTCCAACGAAAGAATTTATGTAAGCATTATCGTCCGGAGTAAACAGTTTTCCTCGGTAAAACACTTGTTTTTGCTGCCTCATAAAACCTCCACCCACATACACGTAGACCTTAGACCATCCCGACGGTAGGGAATAAAAATCTCCCCCCAATCGGCGTTCTTACATAAGTCGAAACCAGTTTGTACTCGAATATTTGTAGTCTCGGGAAAAAGTGGAAAGACAAATTTTTATGACAAACAAATACATAAATCGTAAATTTAAGGAAAACAAATTCTAGAGCTTTTTCTGTACCTCGTGCATCTCTCTCATTCCTTAAATTTAGTTGTAAATGATGCTGTCAAAGTAACAATTAATTTTTTAACATTATACAAGAATTGTACACGTTTTTTTCTACATCCCTTTAAAGGTGAGACTCACGAAATCGTAATATCACTGGTTTAACATTGAAATCCGTGAGTAATATAAAATCGGAGAGCGGAATAAAAATATCAAATATTTTAATGGA